ATAACAATTTATTAAAGTATGATGTGTAGATTTAGTAATAAAAAAGTGATAAGTATTGAAAAAACAGCAGAAGCAAATCCGGATATGCCATATCAAAAAAATATTTAGAAGTTAATATATTCGTAAGAAAATGGACGTATTCTTATTGAGCCCAATAACTTTTGACATAATTATTAAAAAGAAAAAACTATCAACCGGTTTTATCAGTTTGATCTTGGATGGCATCGTCAGATCAAGCTTATATCTATTTTTTTTTTAAATAAAAATCCTTGTTTTTCATTGCATATTTTTATAGTATATCTCAAGAGCTCTTCAAAACTTTAATAAAATATTTCTTTATTAAGTACTTTTTGAGTTACAATATATAAGGCTTGAAAGTTATAGTACTGCTGGCGTTAGAGAGAACATTATCTGAGATGTCTAACTGTTAAAACCTTTTAAACGTTGTTCAGGGTCGTGACCTTAATAACATTCGTCAAGATCAAGAGCTTTGGAGATTATTCCTCTTATTTTCATTTTTATACTAAAATGTGCGTATTTTGAATAATTACCAAATATAAAATATAACACCATATATATATATACACATATCCAATTTTTTTATTATTTAACCTAATTTGAATCACATCAGGTCGGATAATCGAGGTTCTATTGTATATAACAATTTACATTTTATTAAGATAATTGTATTTAAAAAAAAAAAAGAAATAATTTCTAAAATTACCTAGATATATCTTTGATCAAAATCCGATGCACACATTTCTTGTTTGATTTTGTTTAACTTACAATTAGTCGAATTCCGATCTCGATATTTCGGACAGCATAGGATGAGCCCTGTCAGCTTTATTTAATACAATATTTTTTGTGAGATCCACGAATGGGTATTTAAAATCATATAGGCTTGTCCTAATTTCGTGCAAATTTTGATAAAAATGATGGTATGTAATTAAATCTGTTATTTTTAAATCTATAATTCTGTGAGACCACATGATTGAAATTGTAATAACCTCTTTTCCTATTCTCCTTCTTTCTATTGTCAGAAAGTTAACAAAATGTTTAACTGTTTTACGTTCCTGAAAACAAAAATTAATTTCTGCTCATAATTATGTCAAAAGTTATTGGGCTCAATAAGAATACGTCCATTTTCTTACGAATATATTAACTTCTAAATATTTTTTTGATATGGCATATCCGGATTTGCTTCTGCTGTTTTTTCAATACTTATCACTTTTTTATTACTAAATCTACACATCATACTTTAATAAATTGTTATCGTTTTGGCAGCTCCTAGATATAGTAAAGCATTTATTAAAATTTGTAAAACATTTTAAGAGTATCCCACACGTTGTTTGACTTTTTGGTTAAATATATAAACATAAATATATTTTTTCATATTTTTAAGTAATCGCTATGTATATCATATCCAATATTGGAGTGTCTGGTGGCGCTCATCGACTTTGGTCTCACAAGAATTATAAAGCAAAGTTACCGTTAAGGATTCTACTTTTGATATGCTTTAGTGCAGGTGTATAGGTAACATCAATAAATTTGCTATTTTACGTATATTATAATATATGTAAAATACATGTATATTTCATCATTTCTTGCATTTATTAAATAATTCTAAATTATATGTGCATAAAGCGTTTTCTTCCGTTAGGAAAGAATCAAAGTAAACAATATCTGATAAAAAAGCTTTTACATGAAAACGGATCATTAACATGAAACAAAATTTTATGTAAGTATTTAATTACCATAAAAATTACAAAGAAAGCCAAAAAATTACATAGGCTCTTAAATTTTCTTGAAAGAAATCAACTTCAATTTTATCACAAAATTCATAAAATCTACATTTTTTTTTAGTTGAATTTCTCTTGTATCGCTCAATCTTTCTTTTTTTCACATTACAAAGGAAAAGAAGAAAAATGAATAGAGCAATAAATTCAACTAAAAAGAACAAACCGACAGCTAATGTCTATATTTTAAACACAGTTATTTATATTCATGTGTAAATAACATTTTAATTGTTTGCGCTTTTAGAATACGATATGCAGTTGGGTGAAAAATGATTGTATGAATCATAAATATTGCGACACTAATGTTGATCCTTACACTTCTCAATGCGGCTTTTTTATGGGTATGTGGGATGGGTGTTTATGAAAGAACATCCGGAATTTATTAAAAAAAAGCAAGCAACTCGATTTATCGGCTATTTTGTCAGATCCTGTTGTGGTTTTCGGCGAAAGGTAAATTTAATTAATTGTAGGCTACATACATTCATTATTTT